AAAATCAGCCTTTTTCCATTTCAGCAACACCACAACACATAACTATTATTTAACCATTATATTCACTATGTGTTCACTTGAAAAGTTAAATCCTAGTTATGTTAGGTCACGCCTGGAGGCTTCTGGTTAGGTTGTGCACTCTTAGCTAAGCAAAGTGTTTGATCTCCACAGTTGCAAAGCAATGACCAAGAGATTGAGATTTCAGATTATTCCACTTGAGTGCTTCAGTAGGTCTGTGATTTTTCTTGAGCTTTTGGATGCTGATAATTCTGATTTCTCGCTGAGCCTGACTCTTGATTTACAGAGTAGGGCTAGTTGGGGTGGGGCTCATAGCTCCAGTCAGTATTTCAATGCTTAAAATCAGTGTTCACTGGAGCAAATAGTAGTGACACCTAACAGAGGGTGCTGGATACATTTGCACTGTGAGTAAATACTCCACACAATGCAGGCTGGTAATAGAAACGCTCTGTTCTGTTAACAGATCTTGACACCAGGGGGGATGTGCAGTGCTTATTCAAAGAATTGCACAACTACATTGCTTCACCAGAAGGCATTCATTGTAATCGCACCCTCTGTAATTACATCTGTCATAACTGCTCTTTATTTATCCACTATATCTGTGGCTTCTTGGACACAACCATAGCTGACCATCTCTGAAATCTGCACACACACACGTGCACACACATGACATGACACAGACAACCAGATGCTAACATAAACAAATAACCAGAGAGTCACAGAGTGCCCTGCAGTGTTGCCAGTCATTCTCTTTATGTCTGACTGCTTCTCAGTGAAATGGCAGGCCTACAAAAAGGCTGCTTCAGTCTCGGAAAAAAAGAAACATTTGTCTCTTCAGTCTAGATGTGGATGCTGTCTGCATACAGATGTTAGCCCTGGGGCACTGAAACTAATACCTTATGGCATAGCCTTCCTTTCACGTGCTTGATAGTGTCGATGGCAGGGCTGAATAATGGTTATTCCTTCATTCTTTATCAGTGTACAGGTTCAGATAAGAAGCAGCACTTTATCTACCTTTGCTTATTGGCTAAGGAATCCAATATTATGAGTGTGGGGGGTTTTTTTTTCACAGTGGAGCTTGTTTTTTTTCTCGTGTCAGTGTGTTATTGCTCCACATCTCAATCCCTGCAAATTCATTCTGAATAGATGTGTTAGAGAGCTGCATGTTTTTGAAGCCTGGACTCAGACAAAGGAGTTGGATGCAAGGAAACGATGCAGCTTTGTCCGATAGTTGACTGTACCTGTGTTGTGTTTACCTAAAGTGGAGGCTGTCAAAATGTAAAATCAGTCAATGTAAAACATTGAAAAATGAATGCCCAGGATTCACTGAAATGATGGTCGGATGCTTTTAGTTTGGCTTCATGTGCTATAATAAATAATAAGAACCGGATTCTTGGTGAGGAAAAAAATAATAATGTAAAGATCAAAACTCAACAGCTTTACAGACCTCTTTATTTATTGTAAAAAATAATTAAATATATTTTTCAATACAGTATTAAAGTAATTTATTATATTGCTTTGAATATATGTTTGGTTAAAGGTTGTAATACCTCAGTTGACCCCTGGGATGGGATAAAATTGGCATGAAAGGCTGAGTAGGGGTGACATAATCCAGCTCTCGTAATACATTCATGTTTGGCCTGAAGATTTGTCTTGTTTATTAAAACAGTCAACAGCTGAAGCAGCAGCAGCAGATGTGATGCGTAATCATGCTTCCCACTTTTCGAAGACACCACTATGTCTGATGCCCATCACAAATCAGCAGTGGGCTGCAATAAAATCATGTTTAGTGCAACGCTGCTGTGCAGTAAAATAAGATTAATTGTTTGAATGATGACCGATATCAGCGGAGGGATAAAAAATGTAATTATATACTTGCTCTGGAGTAAGATGAATTGTTAGATCAACAGATAGAGTTATATTGTGCATATTGAGAAGAGCTAACATCCGAATGAGTTTTATGACTTAATAATCAACCTGTGGTCATAAACTAAATATATGTATTATCAAAAGGATGAGTTGTAGTGGTGCCTGGGTTTAGTTTAAAAGTTAGGAGCATTGATATTTGAAGGTGGAAGTATGGCTCCTTCACATTGTCTGATGGTATTCTGGGCTAACTGAAAGCAGCTCTGGTGCACACTGGAGGGATACTGTATCCGATCTTCCCTGGAAATGCCTAAGGAGGAGTTGGAGGTTGGGGCTGGGGAAGAGGATCTAATAATCTACTGAGCTTGCAGCAGAAGACCTAGACCTGAAAAAGTGGTCCTAAATGCACAGATCAGTCAGTCAGTCCCCAGTTAACAGCATCCTTTTCTCTCAAATGGCATGCAAAAGCTCTGGGTAGTCATGTTCAGCTGGTTTATACAAGAACATTTGTATTGATTGGTTCTTCATAAAGCAGTAATATTAAAAGGTTGTAATTTTTTTGTGAGATTTCATCTTCGATTCACATCATGTCTCTTCTTTTCAATGACTATTATAAGAGATTTAGTTTGGGGTCAGCCTTCTACTTTAATGTGCTTTTAAAGGGAGAAAACACAGCTATACACATATATACTATACATATAGACATGGTTACACATCTGCACACGCGCTTTCTCAGGCAGTGATATGCAGTCTTCTGTCCTCAGGACTGCAAAGATCTCATTTAGATAACTCTCCTGATCTCTCGGTACCTCCCAGAGTCACCCTTCTTTGCTGTATCCATCTATTATGTTACACCACGATGAGATAACAACTTTAGCTGATCCTTTCCCTTGATAGTGAGAGATCGGTGAGAGACCTGAAGAAAGCAGCTGACCTGGATAGCTCCCTTTCGCAAATGTTTCTGTCATTTGCAGTGATTGTGATTGCGTCAAGCATCACGCTGCATCTGTATTGTGACAGCTACGATGTACCCGCTCATTAGACATGTGGAGGGTATTGATGCTCTTAAAGAGTGTGGTACTTAGCCGTGAAATGCCATCATTTTAACCGTCTCTGCTTATGTTGCCATCTCCATGTGCGACTGCGTATATAAGATGTAGATTTAGGATATGGAATTAAATTCACAGTCTTTCCTTAATCTAACCAGTGTTTTAATAGTGACAAACCACATGATAAACACAATTATTCATAATTTATATAATTATTTTTGTATAACAACACATTTTCCCTTTTGAACAAAGGAAAAAAACTGATATCGTTTTTTATTGCATGAACTCCAAAAATTAGACCATTGCTTAAAATTGACCGTTTAAGGTTTGAGTGTTTTGTTCTTCGAATGTTAAGAGCCAGTGACTGCAAATAATTTCAAACTGTTGCCCTAACAGTACTTGACATTTAGCATTTGATTTTATTGGTCTGTGGTTGTCAAGGGAAGTAGGACAATACTTCACTTTGAGAATGCCACAGAAAACTGCAAGATGAACGGCCTGACATACTGACATCTATAAGACTGATAAATCAGTTAGAAAAATTACATACATCATTACATCCGGATTTAATGATTCACAATCAGTCAATCAGATGAAAAGCTGATGTTTTGCAAAATAAGCCAAATTTATTTAATGACAAGTATTTATAGCTAAGCCCCATTTACATGATTGGAGACCATCTTGCAACCATCTGGTGGATTCCACAAAAAGTTGGTGAGTGGTTGATGGAGGTTTCTGGCACTCACATGTGTGAAATTGGATGTAGAGAGGTTTGTGGCGCTGCACCAAAAAGACCTCCTCGTGCTTTGTGCTTTTGGTTGCTAGCAGGTTGCAAGCTAGCAACCTGGAAGACCCCAACTTGTCTGCAAACACTGGCAAATTTATTGGCAGGCAGAGGTGAACTATGAAATGTGCAACGCAAACTGGAACATGACAAGGCTTGCCTTCAAACTTTGAGCTCTTTTAACACGGGTTGGGTTGCAGCAGTAACTGGTAAAGTAAAAACAGTCCTCATTTATCATGAGAACACAGATAAATGTCATACATAATTTGTTTCCTTTCTTCCCAAGTGATTAACCAAAAAGAACTCCAAACTGTCAGAGTTCACTACTTTGAAGGAAAAAATGTATCCTGTAATATTTGTTTCAGGTCTTCAGGAAGAAGCGGACCTTGAATTCTTGATGTAACATGACACAAAATGCTTACAGTTAAATTTGTCTGCAGAAACACATTTCTTGTGTCTCGTTTCCTGACTATTAAAACACATACAATGAGTACCTGCTAAAAATGAATGTTCTTTCAGATGGAAGTTCATTGCTTTCCTTGTGCCTCCAATTCAGTTTTTCAGTAATGCATTCAGATATACTCCACATCCATGTGCAGCACAACCAGCAGCAATCTCTGCTCAAGCCTGAAATGTACCGTATCATCAGCCTTGCACTCCACGAGTATACATTAGATATACTAAACTTGCAGATTTCTTTCAGCCCTTGGCTTTTGCTCAGGCTACCTTTTTTCATATTGGCATTATTTGAAAACAACAGTGCATTCAATATTTTATTTGTATTTGGCTTGCTGCCTTGCATAGGTGTCATTTCCCATCCCCTCTTTCTCTCTCTCTGTAAGGGAAAAATGCTGTACAGTGTTATCCTGACAGCCTGGCACTGCTTCTGTGAGACTGTTTGCCCTCAGCACAAGGCCTGTCCGCGGCTGCCACCGCTCAATGTCCCCTTTGCGTCGGCAAACGGCCAGACTGTCACAGTCTCTGACTGGACCAGCTGTTTTTTTTTCTCTCTTTCTTCCATCTTATCTCCTCCGTCACACTCTCTGTCTTCCTCCCTGTGACTTGTCGTGTGAAAGAGGCAGTGATAGGCCGCCTGGCGATGCAGCTCTTGACACAAACGTTGATATCCGCACACGCTGGCATCGGTGGGAGACAGTTTTGTATGTGTGTGTGTGTGTGTTGGCCAAAGCGACCAGCACACAAACACCATCCTGTGGATTGTGGGAACGCAGAGGACACTCACGCTCTGTTGTTTTTGTGCTTCTGTTGATGGACACGTAAGTAGGAGGAGGACAGTGAAGGTCAGGGGCAGCTCAGTTTGGGACGTGGCCGGTCAAACCCAGTTAGACAAACAATAAACGTAAAATGGGATGGATCCAGGCTTAAGCTGTCTGGCCGTGCCTCGGCCCGGTCTGCTGGCGTAGGCACTTTTCGTGTCCTGTGCATCTCACATTGGGAGTTATCAGAGCATACAGGCAGGGTAGCATTACTAGTAACAGTTCGCCAGAGAACGCAGAGGGTCCCGAATGTGACCTGATTTGTCAATTTGATGACTTCTCAGAAGCATCGCTCCACCGGGGGGGAATCATCAGCTTACATCTGGAGAGGTGGACTCGCTGTTTAGTGGTTTTTGTGCAAAGAAAATTGAGGCGCATAATGGATTTGTCAGGAGTGTAATTTGACATCAAAGCGAAACATCTGAGGAGCACTTAATTGTCTGCCTCATTATGGCCTACCCAGAGAGCTTTGATTGGCTGAAAGAGACCGTCAGTTTGTTGCCAGGTAAGACCTCTGATTCACGCAGTCTGTGTGTAATTTGACAAAAGGTATATTTATAATCAGAGCTGGAGCTTCCCATTGCTCCCCAAATCTTTAAACCTCATTTGAGAGAGGAATCTTACAAACTGTTGTGAACAGTTTGCAAATGATAACATTTTTTTAAAAAGCCTCTCCATCAGACCGAGTTGTTTACCACTCAACGAAACACATCTTTCGGGAACGGAAGGTGAAATGCATGTCTGTGTAAACAGTTTTTGGAGCCAATTAAATCATCTGAAGGAACAGGGCGAAGAGAGAACAAGTGAATGCAAATGAGAGAGAAGTGAACAGCAGACAACAGAGCAGGGCAGGACAAAAGAGGAAGGAGGAAGAGGGGGAACAAAGACTACCTGTGAGGATGCAGGGACACATTTGCTTCTCACTTTGCTCATTTGCCACCACTTCAAGTAAATCTAAACAGAAACACTGGTAATTTCTTGAACACAAATGGCAAACCGGGCTTAGGCTTTCACTCTGAACCTGTTGACCTTTTAATTAAATTAGGAGTTCCTCCTATTCTCTGTAGGAACAAAGTAGAGAGCATTGCCCCTCCCTCAGCTTGTTTATCAGAAGGCATTTGTGTCCTTTTTCATGTTGCGTTTTAAATTATGTATGAAATGTATTTGCATATTTAGTGCATGAGTGAATGCTCTGCGTCTCGATACCGAATTATGCTTCTAAATTACAATCTAAAGGGCAGAAAATTAATGTGCTCTTTGGAAAACATGATGAATACACTCTGTTGCCACAGAACATTAAAGCATGCGCTTAGGAACCAAAAATAGATACAGCGTGTATACAAGACACAGACAACACGAATACTGACACACACACACACACGTGCAGACTCTCCGGTTCACTGCAGTGTGTGTGTCTGTTGAGGTGTTGTTGTACAGAAGGGGAAATGCCTGTGGAGGCTCGGATGGTGACAGATGGTTTGGAGACAAATCAGCCTGGGAGTCAGGATCTCTGCCCTGGGACCAGTAGCCCATTTAAGTGTGTTGGTGTATATAGCGTGTGTGTGTGGTTACTGTGAATCCCATTAAATGACGTTGAAGGCTAATTGTTAATACATTTGAATGCATTTGCATGAGCATTTGGATGGCTGAGCATCTCCCTTTTTTGTGTGTAGAGGATGTTAAATGTTACGTAATGCTTCTCGTAACATCAAATGACATTGCTTTGACAGATTAAACGGTATGCAAGCATGTCGCACACCAGTGTGCCTTTTTTTTAGATATTCACGCTTCCTTTATTTATGAACAAATGAATACAACACACTCAGATATAAAGGTAAACAGTTTGCATCAGCATCCTAAACTATCTCTTTGTATGCAGTAGTGTTTGTGTGCTTAGCTTTTAGTAGTTGTGTAGCTTCTAAAAGAAATCAGTGTTTGCATTGCAAACAGTACTCTGCTTATTACCAGTTGTTTTCAGCCATACTCTTGCGTTGAGTTACAGTGGACATAAAGAGGCAGGATGCTTTATTGTAGCTTCATTAGCTGTTTGGGTAAACTGCTTTACCCTTCTGTGCAGTGCGGTGAAAAATCCGATTGAGGCCGTTCACCACACACGCAGTCACAGCTCACTGCAGTTCAGCACAGCTGGAATGACGGTGCTGCAAATCTCTAATCTCTGCCATATATTACCAGGTGCAGTTTTTCATCAGAGTGACATTGTTACTCTTTGGCGGGCTAACCTTGCAGGCATTAGTGTGGAACTTCTCAAAGTGCTTTACAATCCGCCCATAAATTACAGCTCAAGAGGTGCTCGCACGGCAGCCTGGAGAAGTTGTGCAGTAAGTAGTTCCTCTGGCTTCTGCGTGGCAGCAATTCCCAGTGGGCTCTACGCTTCAAGTACATCTCAGTCTGAACTTGTTTTGTGACTGTTGTGAGAAAGAAGCTGCTAAAAGCTCAGCAGGAGTACGTTTGGGCTGGGCGAGTACATGAACATGTGTCTCCATCTGCTGTCTAACACACGTTGAGTGCTGTGTTTATGTGTGTCTGTCTGCATGTGTTGTTGTGTCTCCTTACTGCTGAGCTTGGCCTAGACGACTTAAGTCCTACTAGCCTTTAGTAATCTTATTCCCGAGAAGCACCATCTAGGTCATGGGTTTCCACCTTCACTATGGGTTGCTTACCCAGTGCAAGAAGGAAAGAAGAAGACATTTTGTGAAATGAAAGCTTGATTAAAATATCCCTCTTGTTTAGCTAAAGCCGTTTACTGTAATAGATTTTGTTCATATTGATAACACTGCTGGATTTACCACTACACACCTATTTAAAAATAAAAATTGGTTTCAGTTACCCTCAGATAGATAAAACAAACTAGCTAGCTTGCTAGCTGATTTAAAAGCGCTAGCTGTTTAGCTTGTTGTTTGGTTCAGTGTCTATAAATTAGCTTGGTTCCCATTAACCACTATTTTCTTGTCAAACAAGGACTAAGAGCTGCATACAATCATTTGAAAAATAAACTTTTCACAGGATTAGAGTCTTGTGAAAAAAAGGAAGTGTATGTAACAGCCATGTGATGCTAATCAAATGGTCATCATCATCAGTTTGCTTGTCTGTAGCAAGCAATGTCACCCCAATGTCAGATCGTGCAATGCTCTGAGAAACTGCAAAGATCCCAAGAGCTCAATCTCAGACTCTGTGGGCGTCAGTTAGCATGTTAAATGTTGAAGTTAATGGCATTAAAGTTAGAAAAAATAGACAAGAAGCCTTTGTTTGGGAGGGTTACCAGGAGAAAGCCTCTTTTTTTTCCTTTAAAAAAAAAAACATGGCAGCACAGCTTAGGTTTGCTTAGTTGCTCAATCACCTCATACTAACTGCCGAGCATGGTGGTGGAGAGGTGATGATTTGGGCTTTGCAGCAACAGGACCTGGGCCCTTTGAGTCAATCATGAATTTGTATACCAAAGTATTCTAGAGTCAAAGGTGAGGCGATCTGTCTAACAGCTAAAGCTCGGCTTAAATTGGATAATGCAACCAGGACAATAAAGACAAACACAGCAGCAAATCTTCAATGGAATCACTGAAAAATAACACGATCAAGGTGTTGCATTGGTCCGGTCAAAGTCCAGACTTCAACCTGACTAAAATGCTGTGGTGAAACCTTAAAGAGATCTGCATAAATGCAGTCTCTCACAGCAATGTGACAGTCTGGTAAGAGAGAGTTGGACACCTGGAGATGCATGGAGAGTGGCTGGGGCACCCAAATAACTGGACGAGCACACCCACACACACTGACCAGTCTGATTAGTACTTCCGCTGTGGTTCTTAGTTGGATGTGGCGTTATAGGATGTGTTTTTGTTTGCATGTTGCTCTAAGGTAACAAGAGCTTCGCTTACTGCATTTGTCAGCTGATGATTCAGTGCAAGTCTGCGATCATCCTCTGTTTAGTCACTGTGTGCTGTCCTGCAGTGATGGCAGAAGACTTCCTCTGACAGGAGCTGTGTTTCAGCTTCATCCTTGACGTTGTCTTCATTAAATGTATTTTGTGAATGTCATTTCCAGTGGACATAACGTCTGCATGTCGGTACTGCATCACTTCTTAATGTAGCCACTTAGTGTACCTGCCCCAAAAATAGCAACAAGGTTAGAACCTTGGCTTGATTTGTGGAGGTTTAAGTGGACATCGGCCAAAATTGGAAAGGGTTGCTGACACATCCTCCTTACATAAGAGATTTGTAGCTCAGCGCAAAATGGAAAAGATAAAGATTGAGGATCGTTAGTTCTTTATCGGGGGATACCTGCGTTTAAATTGTTTGGTTTTGTGAATCAAGCTAGCTGAAAGACAACGAGCAATCTTTCCAGATGTACCTCTGTGATAGACGCTTTCTTAATATGCAGGTGTTTACTGCAAGGAGTCATTTGTTAGTTGTGGTATGCACATGTACTGGTATTGCTCTCACACTCGGGTCACAGTTGTGGTTAAATGTTTAGTCCTGATCAGATCATGACGAATATGACAAGTTATGTTTTGATTACACGGGTATATTCTTTTCATTAAAAGTACTTTTGCTCACAAATGAAAGCATCGTTGAAGCAAGCTTACAGTGACTGCACTGTAGAAGGCAGAGTTGTGTAAACATGCCTGTGGGATGAAGCTTCTATCTATGACTTAGCACCCTTTGATCCAGTATAGACTTTTCTAAAGGCAGCCGTGTGCTGCATAATAATCTGTTGTGCTGTGATTGTGATGCATGCAGTGCAGCGCATTCCTAGCACAAAGGACTTTAGGCTTCCGTCCTCTTTCCATGTTTGTCTTTTTCTTCTTCTTCTTCTTTCTTCTGTTAGCATTTGTTGAGATCCCTTCCTAAACTCCTTCCCATGCTCCTCCTCCGCTCTCGTGTTCTACCCTTATCAACCCTCCTACCCCATTTTTATCAATCTATCTCCCCATCTTTCCTGTTTGAGGCCGCTAATTTGATCTGTCTGTCTCTCCTGCTGGGAAGAAAGGAAATGATTGAGAAAGACTTCCATGATTACTTTGCCTTGCCTGTTTAAAGTTGCATTTAGAGAAAGACTCTTTGGTGACTTCTGTCATTGCATCTGTTGAAGTGGCTCTACCAGGTCAGAAGAGTTAGTCCTTTGATATACTGCTCTGCAGATTTACTTAGAATGTTTGAGGTAGCAGCATGTTTGTAATATTTTATTCAAAAACGTGCTTTAAATGTTTGCTCTTCGCTTATGATATAGCGACGTGTCTTTCTTTAGCGCCTCCAAAAACTGAAAAGCAAAGCAAAAGTGTAAGGAACAAATCGCACATTGTTTATCTGCCGTTACATAAGCTCCTCACATTCTGACTGGCTGTTTTGCTGCCTCTTATCTAAATTACAAACTTAAGTATACAATTTGTGTGCAACACAGCTAGGTGAATGACCCGCAGCCATTCACTACTCAGACAGTTTGCAGGCTACTTTAGCTGCTCGGCTACATATACAGGAAATGACATGTAAATATACCCGCAAATGCAACTGTGCTCTATTGTGATTTCGGTGTCACCCTCACTCTTCAGCACTGCTGACAATATGCTGCCAGAGTATGACACAGAGGGTACAGCACAAGTTTGTTTACTTTGTCTCTTGCTCCTTACAGTGTAACAGTGCCATTCTGGCAGCCTGCCACTTCCAGCCAATCAAAAACTGGCACTGACACACCTCTACAGGAGGCTGAGAGATAAGGGAGCATTTCTGATATTTCTCCTCTTTTAAGTATTAATAAGTATTATCACGTTAAACACACATGAACACACACACACACAGTGGCAGCCTTAAAAATTAATGACTTCTGGCACATTTCTGGTAAGCAACTACGTTTGAGCTAATAACATGTTAATTGAATTTTTATTTATAATAGAGTTTTAGAAAACTGGGACAAACTGAAATACACAAACGTATTACCTTGCTTTCTAAGCGGATACGCCGTTAAGCATTCAGATTTTCTCACTGGAAAATCTACGTAAGCGTTATTCCATATTTGTGCAGGTTTGAAATGTTAAAATAATGGTAACTGGGTGAAGTTTAAAGATTATGGTTGTTACTTGCTAGTAACAATTGTAATGCATGTACTGTGTGTGTGTGTGGTGTATAAAGGCGTGTGTGTATGGTCAGTGGTTAGTGTGTGGTGATGAGTTGTAAATGATGTTTTCTTCTGATAGGGGCAAAACATTTTTTCTTGGGACAATCTAAACATTAAACTCCTCGAGCGGTTTTGTTGAATTGTTTTCAGCGTGTTTGCATAAGTGAGGATCTTTTGTTTATTTTGCCCATTTGCAGTACATGCATGCAAATGCATGATCGAGTGGAATGGCACAGCAAACATTGTCTCTGCAAAAGCCATGACAGAGGCAAAGAGAAAAAAAGTAAGGAGTATGGTGGCGGGGGTGGCAGTGGTGGCTCCCTCAGAGGACAATGCCTCTCAGAGAGGAGTGACACAATAGACTCCATTCACAGCCACAACAACAGCATTATGACATTTTGTTCCTATGACTGGACATTATGCATACACCCAAACCACGAGAGTCACAGTGGGTTTTCCAAACAGCTCCAAAAAGCACAGACGGGAGCTTTCATGCAGCATACGCGCCTGACTTTACAGCTGCATAGAACCGCTGTCCAACATGTGTTTAAAAAAATCCCCACTGCCATCGTTTTTCCCCTGATGTTTACATTACATAATCAAAGTGGACACTTGGCTTTTTTATTTTTTTATTTTGTGTGTTTGGATAGTTTTCCTCATTCTTTCCTCATCTATAACCTGCAGCGTTATAAGACAAGAGATTCATCATGCTACAGAGCGGTGGTATAAAAAAGAAGATTAAACTTTAGGCAAGAAGGAGAATATACTGCCATGTTGACTTCATAACGACATCTTAAAGATACAGTCTTTAACTCACGGGCGTCAAACATAATCGTAGCCAGTGCTGCAGCCAGAATATTAATACAAGTATGCTTTTTTTTCTTTTGGGGTTGCCAGGTTTGCCAGGGTTTTCCAGCATGTTTGGGAAGAAGAAGAAACGGCTGGAGATCTCAGCTCCGTCTAACTTCGAGCACCGGGTCCACACGGGCTTCGACCCACGGGAGCAGAAGTTCACCGGCCTGCCACAGCAATGGCAGAGCCTCCTGGCAGACACTGCCAATCGGCCCAAGCCCATGGTGGACCCCTCCTACATTACCCCCATACAGCTGGCACCAATGAAGGTACATTACAACCACACAGACTCTAGCAATAGAGACAAATCTTTATCACTTCCAGCCTGTTGCTTACCTTTCTCACATCTTTCTCTTGCTGTTCATCCCTCTGTTTCTCCTCCACTTTTACCCACACACGCCGTGTCTATGTGAACTTAATTATGAACTTTTTTTCTTCTCGCCTCTCCTTTTTATTGCTGTCTGTGCTTTCTCACCCTCTGTAAATGTCTGTCACCTCAGTGTTTTTGTCTCTTACTGCTTCCCTCTCCACCTGTTGCACACTTTCCTCAGAGGCAAAATAGAGAATTCTCCATACCATCTGGCCACTTCACACTGTTTAAATGTCTCTATCAAATCGGAAATGGTAATCATATTGTTGCTTATTATGATGCTTTAAGCCTACATTAAACATTTTTGTGAATACTGATTGACTCCCTCTTGCCACTAAAGCTATAGAACTAATTGTAGTAGACTGTGTTGCATTACAGTTTAGCCTCTTATGTTTCAGTGGGTTAAAAAAGTAGTGGCACCCACCCAGGAGACATGTTGTGGATAAACAGTGGCTACGCTGGCCACCTACTAACCTATCCACTAACTAGATAGCACACTTGTGTTTGTGTCATCACACCATTTATGATCCCTGGTCATAAGTCAACTGACATTACCGGCCAATTAAAAAGGGCAAAAATCACAAAAGAATCTTAACAAATGAATAACAAAACACTATTTTGATATTTTTCTAAGTGCTTGCGACCAAGCGACCAGATGCCTATGAATCTGATTTGCATGTTCACAGCAGACGTATGTGCTGCTTTCGTAAAAGTCCGGTGGGATTTTCAGGTTGTTTGATATGGACTGCATGTGTGAGAGGAGTTAGACATACACACCACCCATATTTGTCTTTCCAGCCCGTGTCAGTCCAGAATTGTTTAATGTAGTGTCTGTGTGATTTTATAAATGTTTTCCATTACATGATGCCTCTGTGATTTCAAACTGATGTGTCTTTTCATTCGCCTTACCTCCCCTGTGATTGTGATTGTGTGTCTCCTCTTCTCTCCGAGTGTCTCCTCTGATGTGTTGTTGTTCATTGGCGCTCCTTAACATATCACTTTGACACATTTGACCAACTGTTGCCAGTTATAGCCACACTTGACCACTTGATGATTTGCTCGTTGATATTTCTGTGCACCTTTCCTCTGTGTGTTGTTTTTGGGTCTAATGGGCCTTTACAGGGTCATTGTTTATAATGTGGCAATTATTCTCTTTTAAAGTGGTCCAAGCATACTGAAGAGGGCCAGTGCTTTGAAATTTAGGACCCTTTTTGCCTGATGCTGCAGTACAACTTACTGCTGCGTGCACCACTTCTGTTGCCCGTGTACTGTAATATGTCAGGAATGAATTATCCCCCAAGAAACATTTGAATTTTAAACAAATTTTCCATTTTTGTAACTGAAAGCTCATAAAGCGTAACACTACAAGTCAAGGTTCCTTTTAAATAAATGACAAAGCTTGAGACTAAATACACGGTTAGTCTCTCAGGAACTGCTTGCAGGTCCTGCTGACAGGAAAATCCAAGCAGACAAAGCTCTGTTACAGAGAACAGCAATATGCCACAGGAGATATCTCTGAAGAGGGGGAAACAAGAAAATAATTCTCTTGCTCTCTTCACAGATATCTCCCAAGAAAGTCCGGTCATCCGAAACGCCGTTGCCCAAAGTATGACTTCCTCTTCCCTTCTGACCCCCACACTCACCTCACCTTTTTCTTTTTCTTTTCTTTTCTCCAAACGGTCGCTCTCACACAGTCACAATCCCGCTGTTTTGTTTCCACATCTCTCCCCCACGTGCCTGCTGCCATGCATTCAGGTGGAGGTGATGTGTCAGCAGGAACAGGGAGAAACACAGAGAATGGCTCCACACACACACTAACACATGACATAACTACATTGCTCTGCCAAGTCCTTTGTTAGACCTCATCTCCACTCTTTTGTTTCATTCGCATGAAAAGAAAACATGAGATCAACTGCAGTGGCATGCTCCCCTCGTTTCTCCCCTTTTGCTATGGAGCATCATTGATGATGATGATGATGATGATGATGATGATGATAATCATAATGATGATGATGGGTGCTGAGATGTGAAGTGCATGTTGCCATGACAGCTGATTCTGCTCTACTGGAAGCTGTCACTCTGTAGAAACTAGCTCAAAAGGGTTTGCATGTGTTAGAAAAACCCTTCGATCCACCCTTTAATCTAACCCAATCACTTC